GGGCCAAGAATGCTTGAGATAGTCACAGCACCAAAAAGTTTACACATCACGAACAGATAAAATCAAACAGCATATAGAGGAAAATGGGGAAGGTACACAGAGAAGACACGTAATACAGATTGGATAAGGATACAGATCTCTTATTTGCTGTTTCCACCACCCATACCTTCACGTTTCTCTGCTGACAATGGGCATGTATTACTTTTTATAGCTATTAAGGATAGTTTGCAAAGTAGAGCACTAGGTCCTGACCCTCTTGCTCCAGGAGGACGTGAACAGGGACTGAGCAGGGCTCTAAGCCATTAGTTGAAATAATACCACCCCCTGCTGAGTAGCAACAGCTCCAGACACTGCAAATACTAGCCAGGTACTCTGAGCTTCCTCCCAAAAAGTCTGGGAAAACAGAAATCGCTCCCTTCGCAGACATTCAAATCTTGACTAGAACAAAGAAAATGTTCAGAAAACAATGAAGCTACCAAATCTCCAAGTCCCTCCTCTGGGAGCTATTCATAGAACGGTTTGGGTGGGAAGGGACATTTAAAGGCCACGCCTCCCACCCCCCCTGCCATGAGCAGGGACATCTTCACCCAGATCAGGTTGCTCAGATCCCTGTCCAGCCTGGCCTGGAATGTTTCCAGGGATGGGGCATCAACCACCTCCCTGGATAACCTCTGCTAGTGTCTCACCACCCTCAGTGTAAAAAACATCTTCCTCACACGCAATCTAAATCTCCCCTCTTTTGGTTTAAAACCATCACCCCTTGTCCTATTGCAACGGACCCTGATAAAAACAGCAAGTTACAAAGGGCACACACGCAGAGAGTTTAAGAAGCGGTGAGGAGCAAAGGGGGGCCCTGGCATCTCTGCCGGGGGAAGGCACTGGCTCTTGGCACAGCGAAAGCGGCAGGAGCTCCTCAGCAGCATCACCATCTTACCTTGGATCTGCCAGTGGCTGCACCCCCACCGCGGCCTACAGCGGGCACCGTGTGGGTGCTGCTGTCTCCAAACAGGAGACAGGCAGTGGGACCCTACAGCGGAGCAGCTGCCGAGGGGAGAAGAGAGAGTCGGACAGAGCCCTTCCTCTGGTCCGAAGCAGAAGCAACACTCCTCAAGCTAAGCCCTGGCAGGGAATAACCTGCCAAGGTTAAACTTCACAGCGTCACGGGATCACCGTATGGGAGATGGAGGGGAGCGTGGTCGGCTCTCCACAAACCCACAGCTCTGCAGATTAGCAAGCTGCACAGTAAAGTTTGTTAAAGCTAAACCCAGAAGGAAAGAGCAAGCACTTGGACAAGGATTCTTGGCAAAAGCTGGAGCTCAGCTTATTTCAAACGCAGGTTAAAAACTAGGAGGAGAATGACTTGCAGCTCGTCAGGGTCATGGGAGTCCGGACAGAGCAGGGTACCAGGGGACTCCAGAGCACTCTTCCACCGCTGAACCCTGACACAAGAGCTCATATGATTTTCAGATAAGAAAGTGGCTTTTTACACCTTCGGGACAACAACATCCTGTGAGAACAAGGATGAAGCGCATTTGGCTTGCAGGCTCTGGGTTCAGGAGGATGAACTACCTCAAGACAGGAGAGCAAGAGTCTCACTTGCCACCTCCTTAGCAGGTTGCAAGGAGTTCCTCCAGACTGGCGAGTTGGCAGCCCTTGAAAGCTTTCCCCTGTTGCACCATCACACACATGGACTGGGTGTTTGCAGCCCCAGTCTGCAGTCCCCTTCCTCTAGCTGGAAAATGGTAATGCTTTAATTCCCCCTGTTGTATTTTTCACATGACTGACCACAAAACTATTAATATCTGAATCCAGAGCTGGTTCAGCTAGACAACTCATTCCCTCCAAGGACAGGAAAACCACAACTTCTTCCATCCTTGGAAAAACCTTTTGTGACTGCAAGGCCAGCAGCTCAGATGTAGTAGAGACGGTTCTGGTTTGCTGGCACACCTCAGAGGAGAACATCAACAAGCATGAGAGAGTTCAGTTTGTTTCTTCTGTGCCTTCTTCGCATCTCCAGGAAGGGTGAGTTCTGAGCTTGCTATGAATCCCTGTCTGATCAGGGCTTTTCTTCTCGCTCTAGTCAAAGGGCCAGGGGAATTGCTTGGTACTGTAAACTCTCCAAGAATTGCACCATCCATCTCTTTGCCTAAAAGGATCATGAAATTTCAGGTGCTTGTGGGAATACTGGAAAAAAACCCAAAGGCTTGTCTCTGCCATTGTTAGAAGTCTTTGGTTTGGTGTTTTTTACATTTCTTGCTTTTTTAACTTGTGCAGGGAGTTAATCATCTAACTTTTCCCCTGCATTGTTGGCTGGATGTAGCATGTTCATCACCACCCAGAAGTGCTGTTTCATGTTCCTAGGACTTAGTATGCATCAGACCCAATTTGGTCCACATCCACTGAGCACTTCAGCTCATGTTTAACTTCAAGTATGCACTTAGGATCCATTAAAATCAATGGGATTCTCTTAGAAGTACTGTTGAATAGTGTTTGGTAGAGCAAGGCTAGTCTCTGTGGTGGTCTCCAGCTCTTGACATTGTCTTCACAACCTTTCCATTCACAATGGGTAGATGTACTGACCTGACAAGCCTTTTCAGGAATTACCTTGTGTAAGGTGTGTAGGCTGTTTGCCTATGACCTTCTCCATTTCTTGTGAGACCTTCAAGCCCAGGAACAAATGGAGGCTGGATATTAGCAAGAGAAAGACCCCCCCCCATGCTGAAGCTTTAAGGTTAAGGTTAATTTATACACAAGATGCCGACAACTCCCTCTGCTCGTAACAGAGGCAAACTGTGTTTCCACAGAAATGGGTGGAGCTAGTAACACTAGAAGCACTTATTTTTAACATTATTTCTCATGTGGAAGGCAAGGGGATGTTTATGGACTAAAAATTATGCTCTTTGTGTAAGATTTTCACAGAACCACAGACTGGTAGGGGTTGGAAAGGGACCTTTGTGGGTCACCCAGTCCAACCCCCTGCCGAAGCAGGGTCACCCAGAGCAGGCTGCACAGGACTGTGTCCAGGCGGGTCCTGAATATCGCCAGAGAAGGAGACTCCACAGCCTCCCTGGGCAGCCTGGGCCAGGGCTCCGTCACCCTCAGAGGGAAGAAGTTCTTCCTCCTGTTCAGCTGGAACTTCCACTGCTTCAGTTTGTGCCCACTGAAAAAAAAATGCAAATCAAAAATGTGGCAGAGAAAAGCAAATCATGGACGCAAAAGCACATGATCTGCACTTCTCCAAAAGCAAAGGTTACAATGACATGCTGTAAAATGAACAAAATCACATGAAACAAACTAGTAAGCAACAGCGTTTTCTCTTTACGCTACCAGGTCTTTATGGCCAAAGTCCATGAGCTTTCTGGAGCTCCTGCAGCCATCTAGCCTTGTATATCAGATTACCTAGGCTGCTAAAGGTACTCTTATCGTCATAATGAACGATGAGGCAGCCCAACTCCAGATAACAGTAATCAAAATACTGGCTTGGCCCTGATTCCCAAGAGGTAACTTAATGGCAGAGAACTGGTCCTCAGCTGGTCTCTGTTCATTGTCTGGTGCACAATAGATGAATAGGAGCTGCACCACCACCGAGGTATTTTTTAAATACTATGAAGAACAGATATATGAACAAGCAACAAATCTTATCTTAGAGTTTACATGAGTAACCCAACAGCTGAACACCCACAGACCACAGTGAAGCCAGCCAGACCATGGATGGGTGGCAGTTACTTACAGGACGCGTTTACATTTTTTTGCAGTTATTCTCAGCTATCAAGTACACAGCTCCTGATTTAATATAGCCATCAAGTGAGTTTTACAAGACAGGAATGTAGCCACAGACGTTCCTGAAACCACAATCTGCTGCTACAGCTGTTGCAGCTCGCAAGACAGTGGAGAGATACACATATCTACATGGAAAGCACTGCCTGCAGGTGCTGTTTGTTGATACTGTTGGCTCCTCGGGAAGGGAAACAAGACGAGACATTGAGTTTTCCCCATATACTTCAGAGGCAGGGAGTGTACAGTCAGGTGAAGGCTGTGTTCATCACCAGACAGAAATGATCAGAGCAGGTCTGGTGGCAACAAGGTTCAGCTCCCCAGACTGCACCAGGATTAACTGTGACCAAAGCTGGCCAAGAGAGCAAAATCCCATAAGACTGTGGCATCTCATGTGGAAAACTCAGGATTTCCCCTGCCATGACAGCAGGACGAGGCCTGGCTGGGAAGGCACCGGAAGCCAGAGTCCACGCAGTGACGATCTGCTCTGCTAACAGGGAGATGCTTTCCTTACCATCCAGGGCATTCTCCTTCGTACAACAGGAGCCAATACAGGGAACTCGCCTGTTCTCACCAGCCCTCGCATGATGAGTATCTCCAAGTCTTTATTCAGATCCTGTCACCTCTTATGAAAATGGTGCTGCTTTGTGACGATAGCAGCACTGCTTGTTGGAAATGTGAGCTGTCACTACCTTCTCCAGGGGTAATGCAACCACTAATTGAATAGTGCAACAAATACCATAACGTAGGAGTACGTGCGTGCATGCACTCAAGGGCAGGGCTGCTGCACTTACTTGTACTGCAGTCCCTAAAGCTACTGAATACAGGCAACACATATTTCTGGCTTTTTTTTTTCCTCAAAAAAAAAAAAGTCTGTTCCTCCAAGCACATCAACGTCTGCTACCTGCAAAAGACTGTGTTAAACAACTTAGGATGCTACTGGTCACTTGACAAACAGGAGGCTTACTTAAGAATTAAGTCACTTGTAACACGGGCTAGTCAATCCCCTTAGCTCTGCTGCAGACTGGTACCAAATCCAGCCACGGTAACTGAGCTGCGCAACAACCTGCAAGTTCTCAGCAAGAACACCAAGCAGCACAGGGCCCACCACGGGAACAGAGCATCCATTTTCTGAGCAAAAACACAGCTGAGGCAGGAAGGATTCCCAATTTTCCTTTCAAACATTGCAGATAAATCAGTCTTGATAATATTTTTTTTGTTTCTAGGTGTGCAGTCCAATGGTTGGTCTGTTCATGTCCCATCTGATGTTACTGGTGAACTTGGGAAGATGGTTATCCTGCCCTGTACTTTCACACACCCCTACAAAACGTTTGACAGGACCCTCACTGCCATTTGGAGGATCAAGGAACCTTACAACGGCACGATAGTTTTCAAGTGCATTAGTCAGAGCACCAGCGAGCTCTGCAAGACTGCCATCAGCTACAAAAACAAATACAAACTGCTTGGCAACCCCCGGCACAAGGACCTTTCCATCAGGATTGACAATCTGACCTGGAGCGACAGCGAGAGATACTTCTGCCGAGTGGAGTTGTCCGGAGATATCCACGACAAGTATGAAAGCAGGAACGGGATAAAGCTGCATTTGATTGGTAAGAGAGCACAAGAGCCAAAGGAGGCAAAGCCACCCCGTAGGGAAGTGAGAGCCACAAGACATGGAGACCAATATGATGGTAACAGAGGCTGACCTGAGATGGTCTTCCAAAGGGTTGGCTTTTCCAGCTCTGGGGGTAATTTCTAACATTTGGGCAGGGAATACTTGTTGCCTTAGGCAGTCTTCCAGTACAAGGTGACGTGCACACCACAGGGGAGGGAACAGGAACAAAACTGGTAAGGAAATAGCCAGGCTCTGGCTGCTGGGGTAAGAGCCAGCCAAGCCTTCAGCATCCCTTCTAATTGCAGGGGGGGCTGGACTAGGTGACCTTTAAAGGTCCCTTCCAACCCAAACCATTCTGTGATTCGATGCTGTGCAGGCAGCAGAGAACCAAGCTGGGGTCAGCAGCCCATGGGGTGGGGTTTAAAGATGTCTTTGTTATCAAGATCTGAAACAGAGAGCCTGACTGCCAAGTACGTGTTAGAGAATGTAAACATGTGCAGGCTTGGATGGTAGCAGGGTCCTTGGAAGACCAAATATCCAGCTTCCATGTGCCACAGGCCTAAACAGCTCCAGAGCTGGAAATATTAAGCACAAACAGCCTTAAAAAGAGCTTTGATGAACAAATGTCAAACCTGAGAAGCTGGCAGTCTCTGTTAAACCCTAAAGCTCCTTGGGCTCCACTGACCATTGAGCTGCACCCAGATTAGAGGACATAAACTGGAGCTTCACATCCTCTTCAACGTTCTTACTATCTGCAGCTTGGGCTGAAACACTGTTTTGAATCCTGAGAAAAAAAGCCCTGAGCTTAACTATAACTGGCTGGAAGCAGGGTCTCCGGCTGCCACGGTCCCATTAGCTAAGCACACCCGATCCTGTCCTTCTGGAGAGCACACGGTCCCAGGCTCCTCCAGTATTCGCCAAGGGATCACTTAGAAACCACAGGGGCAACAGGCATAAGGCAAATCATCTCTGAGGCAACATTAGACAACAGCTGCGTGAGGTGAAAAGTCCATCCACAGGCTTGACATGCATGGAAGTGACATTGTGATCCCCAAATGAGCTTGGGACCCGTTGCAATAGCTGTTGGATGGACATACACAGGGTGTTGCTCATTCCTGCGGAGCCTGTAGTCTCAATAGACACGGGGAAGGAAAGAAACACATAGAGGTGAACTTCACAGCAGCCAAAATCCGAGTCTCAAAGTCACACGCTGCCCAGCAGCTCCCACTGAAGTCTACACACTACTCATAGTACAGAAACCCACCACAAGAGCTCACTGCCACAGCAGGACTCATTTTTTCTGTCAGATGAATAATATGGCTAAAAAAACCCTGCTTTTAGAGCTGCTCAGCACAGTAGGGACGCGGCAGAGGAAGCAGGGGCGAGCCTCCAGCACAGACCACACAGCCCCGGCTGTGCCCCTCCATGCCCGGGGCTCCCGCAGAGCCTGTGCATCCCCAGGCTGTGACGTGTTTTGTTCAGACCCAGCGTTCAGTTATAAGGAGAGCCCGTTCAGGAAAGCGCTAATCCCACTTCCCCCATCCAGAATCACAGAATGGTAGGGGTTGGAAGGGACCTCTGTGGGTCATCTAGGCCA